GGCCAAGCACGCTTGGCTTGTTTTTTTCCCAACTTGGGCATGTGCCCAGCGTGGCTTGATACACCATACAAATACATACACAACACATATCCACAAAACTGCCCTTGAGCCCCGCTCATGCTGTCAATCCTCACTGCTTCATCATTAGTACAAATGTGAGCAGCACAGCCATTGTCATACTTCAGTTCAGCAAAGTCTTATAAAATTTGATGATCTTGTGGAAGTGAATGCCTGACCATCTGTTTTTCCTTCCCCAGCTCACATACCAGATTGCTCTTATTCTTTTCATTTCTCTCAAACAAAACTTTATATTTCTTCCTTAAATTTAATGTCTTCATTCCCAAGAAACAACCTCCTACCACTACAAACCCTTGTCAGATATTTCTTTTTTCTTTTTCCTTGTACCATTCAGCTCTTACCATTGAGATTGTCTGGAACAACATTTTCTCTTCTTATGATGTACTGCCTCTTGTACTCATACCTCTGCCCTTTAGGTATGTGAATTGTTTCTCTGTCTTCACATGCCTTATGCTGTTCTATCATGAACTAAAAATAAATATAACATTTAGTTTCCATATTCTCACATGACCCAACCTGAAAAAAGGATTTGGGCACTGTTTTAGCGCCTGAACCCAACCCAAGTAGATCCTGATCATTGCTCCATCCAATCTGTCAACCCATCTCCTCAGTCTCCTCCTCACTACATACTTTCCAATCATTTAGACAAAAACAGGTACTGTATGATCTCATGAAAGTTTTTCTAACTTCTTGTACCTTGACTTCTTCCATTGACCTTAACTTATCAGTTACCCATTGTAACTTCCAACTGTGGCTCCAAAATTCACCACCTGAATTACAACATTTTTACCACAAATCTATCAAAGTGTGTTGCTAGATTCATCAAGAAACATCAAGATGTGAAACAAAATCAGAAAATGGCCACCCTGGGTGTATCTGGAACTGGAAATATAGATCCACAAGAGGTGTGTCAATCCAGATCTCCTTTGTCCCCTTGTTTTTCTCAGTATAAACTCAATAGGTCACCAGTCATATG